ATATGCTGACTCTGTAAACTGCTTAGAGAGGGCTGAAAGCCCTATGAAGCGGTATGTAAGTCTAACTGCTATTGCTACTGCGCCTTTCAGTAGAAGCTTCCTTCTTACTATTTCAGGCTAGCTGCCCCCCCTCCGCACCTGCACATTAATAATCGATTGCTAATGAATGAGCAATGATTCTCCCCAGGAGTGCATCAGAAGTGCTTTTGCAACTATTCCGTTTCCTATTTAATATGAAGGATTACTTCCGACTCATAATGGCATGGGGTTGGCTTCTAAGCTAACGTGGAAAAGAATCCTTCAGAACCTGCACAGCCTAAAAGGATTATGGGATCACCAGCGTGAGATGTGACAAAATGTGCCACTGCATCACAATGGTTTTGCCTCTTGTATAACATGCATGACACCATGGACATGGGGGACGCCACGATATGGCAATCCGGGGGTTTCAGTCCACAGCTTTCCCCTTGCAGATTAGGAGAAAAAAACATTCGAGTTTCAAGACAGATTTCGTGCATTCATTCACGAGGTCCGTTGAGAATTTCTCGGCCTTTTGGCTGAGAGACGGAAGTGCGTGGAATTTCTGCCCCATCGTCTCTGAGGACGGCAGATAAGGAAATGGGCCTTTAGGAGATGGATCGCCGAGTCCCTCCGCCCTGAAGGATAGGTAAATCATTCCTAAGGATGCTTGGGGCAGCGTTTCTGAAAAAAGCAATTAAGAAGAAAATATTGCAAGGTCCGCTACCTCCATTAATGAGAGGAGGATTCTGTCATAAAACCTCCGAGTCTGGTCAGTGAGAAGCACTTCGAAAGTCTGCGTTTCAGAGTTGGGCTCCAGGCCCCTCAGAGGGCAAAGATTGTCCTGGGAAGAAAACCAAGAGGAAGGCAAAAACTTTCAGTGGGAAACACGCCGATGCAGTGAAGATTTCTGTGTTTACCAATTCCCTAGTTGCCCCCTTCAATTTTGCAGATTTAATTTACGGGGCTCAAATTTTAAGTTGGAATGTTTTTGCTCAGTGAAAGAATCCAGATTAAAGTATCAGTAAGAACTGGCTGTGTAGCCTTCGAGCTGAAAATAAGTTCACCATTCCTCTCGGGTCTTTTGTCTTGGCTGTCCATCTGCTTTTAACACCAATTCCACCACCACCCTCCCCTTAATATTTATCCCACACTGGCGGTCCTCTCACTTAAATCTGTCCTCCTGCACCTTGCGCTCCTGTAAGTGAACGAGGTGACACATAAGGAAGATTGGAGGAGGAGGAGGAAAGAGGAGAGTAGACCCAGATGTTTTCTGGAATCAACACTGTGGGCCGAGAAGAAGGCGCCACTGGAGTTGGCGTTTCAGAGAAGAAAATGGACTCCTCTTGGCCAACTCTCTGCTACATCCAGATGGCTACCAAGAAGCCCCAATTCAGTTACTTTGAAAGAGCGAGATAAATTCATGGAGGTGGCTGTTTGTCAAGATGGCTCTGATAGTCTGAAAAGCTGAGGTGGCGCAGTGGTTAAATGCAGCACTGCAGGCTACTTCAGCTGACTGTTATCTGCAGTTCGGCTGTTCAAAGCTCAC